AGGGAGCCCGATGCGGGACTCGATCCCGGGACTCCAGGATCATGACCTGAGCCGAAGGCAGTCGCTTAACCAACTGAGCCACCCAGGCGCCCCGAGGCAAATTTTTCTTAGCACTGACACCCAGCCCTGGCAACCTAATTAATAATCAATACTTTATTAGGCAGTTGTGATTTCATAGGTAGTATCTGTTTCACTCTCCAAAAAGCCAATACTGGGAACATTTGTTATTAATTTTTAATTTAATACATAATACACTGAATTTATCTAGATCATATATAGCTCCATCCTCCAGAGGAGGAATCATGTGAAAACGCTAGACCAGTAGCTCTCATACCATCTGTGAAATGTGTTAAAATGTAGATGCCAGAGTCTCCCCACAAGAGAGGTTCATTCAAGGATGCTTCAACCAAAGTCACCAGTGATGTCCTTAATGTTAAATCTAGTGGACACTTTTTAATACTCATCTTGACTGAATCCTTAACAGAATTTGACACTTACCAGAAAAGCTCTCTCCACCAGGCTTCTATGGTGCTATGCTCCCCTGCTCCCTTCTCTCTGGCCAAGACTTTCAGTCTTCTTTGCCGGCTCCTCCTAACTGCTCATTCTCTCAAGTGTTGATGTTCACTGAAGCTTGCATCCCTTCCCTTCTCGCTCTATAAACTCTCTCTGAACAGTATTATATCTTCAGTTACTCTCTACATGCCAGAGACTTCATAGATATATCTTCAGGTTTAATGCTCTCTTCTGACCTTTTGGCACACAATGGGTGGCTAATAAATGCCTATTGAATTAATGAATGAACAAATGACAAACATTTCTAAAATGTGTAACTACTTTAACTTTGATTGCTTTTTAAATGGGTAACTTCTTGGTGACGTGGAAATAATCTTCATCTCATAATCAGTATCTCCAATTCATTCTTTATATATATTCAGTAAATCCCACACAGAGGTTAGGAATTCATGTAAACTTCAATATAAAGGAGTTCTTTTGGATGATCCATCTTCATTTTGACTCGTGAGTTCTCTTGCACATCATTGTTTATCCTACAGTACCTAGATAATGGTCTTGAAATACCCTTTCCACCAAAAGAGGCTAGAATTTATTGGGGAAAATTACTGGTTCTAGGTCTAGGGTAGGAACAAGATGAACCTAGAATACCAGACAGCAAGGAAGCTATCAAAGACCATGAGGGCTATGTCAAAAATACTCAGAAACCAACCTGAAGAGGCTCTTGCCAGCCAAAGAGAACCAATGTGAGTTTTAAAGGGATCATTGAAATGATTAAGTCCATTAAACCAACAGGTTCGCAATGATATTTTAAAAATCGAATTGTTTACCTTCAAAGAATGACAGGAAACCAATTTATCACCTTCAAAGCTAGTAACCAAAAGGAAAGATAAAATATTCATCCTGTCTTTCTATATGAATTATATCACTCAATAAGCAAATTGTAAATGAGCGAAGTGTCTCCAGAGTTCTATTATAAATAATTTGCAAGAAGTGATAGAAATACCACTATCTCCAAATCCCAGTGAATTAATGGATCTAGGCATTAAGCCTCAGCTGCTAACATCACACAAAAAAATGACCAGATATGATGTGCCTCCTCGTGCTAGAGCACAGTACCATCCAAAGAGTACCAGTTATAGGATGAAAAAGTTCTGGGGATCTAATGTAGAGCATAGCGATTATAGTTAATAATATGTATGATATACTTGAAAGTTGCTACCAAAGTAGATCTCAAGTGTTCTCACCACACACAAAAAAAATAGTAATTATGTTACATGAATTGGGTGTTAGCTGAAGCTATAGCGGTAATCATTTTGCAGTCTATAAGTATATCCAGTCAGCATGTTGGACACCTTATGATAGATGGTAACTACACTTGTGGTGGGCATAGCATAACATATAGAGAACTTGAATCACTATGTTGTACACCTGGAACTAATATAACATCTTGTGTCAATTATACTAAAAAAAAAAATTTAATTTATGGGAAAAAACATGTACACCTGGAAGTTATACAATGTTATATATTAATTATATCTCAATAAAGCTGGAAAAAAAAAAAAAAAGAGCACAGCACCACCTGTCGTCTGCCATAAGGATGAAACATGAGTCTGGTCAAGACTTTAGATCGAACCACAAACCGGCAAGAAATACAAAGGACAGAGGGACATGTTGAATTGCACGATGATTATGTAATGAAAAATTCCACACTGTAGGTAACTCTTCAGGTCAAGTGCAACAGACAACTTTTAAGAGAAATAAAGAGATGGAGGGGAAATCTAGAGATTAAGAAAGACTTAGTCATAATTTTTTTAAATGGGTAAGACTAAACTATAATGTCTACTGATGTATCTGTACAATGAAAATATTTAAATGACTCAAATCATTGATTACTGGATTAGTTCATATTTATATAGTCATATCTGATCAGGGGAGACAGGTGTTGAGACTTGGATTGGCCGCATTGGAGGGGCTTCTGGAGTGACTGACAAAGTTCTATTTCTGGACCTGATTGTTTCCCTTATAACTTATTAAGCAAACATTTGTTTTGCAGCTTCTTTTGCATCAGGTTTATTTAAAAATATATAGGTTTTTTTTTAAGTCTATGCATTAGCCACTATTCTTTACTGCTTGCCTATTGTGCTATTAAGACAGGCATGGGGGGCGCCTGGGTGGCTCAGTCGTTAAGCGTCTGCCTTCGGCTCAGGTCATGATCCCAGGGTCCTGGGATCGAGTCCCACATCGGGCTCCCTCCTCGGGGGGAAGCCTGCTTCTCCCTCTCCCCCTCCCACTGCTTGTGTTCCTGCTCTCGCTATCTCTGTCTCTGTCAAATAAATAAATAAAATCTTTAAAAAAAAAAAAAAGACAGGCATGGGGACCATATGATAAATGTCAAATTGGGAAATATATTAGGTTGCATTTTTACACTACAACTTTGAATCCAAAACCAACTGAACAAGTAGAAATAAAGGAGGTGTAAACTTGGCATGAAAAGAACTTGGGAGTTTTCAAAAAAAAAGAAAAGAACTTGGGAGTTCAGTGTGTGCTAACTGTGATAAAACCATTCCTAAGAGTGAACTTTGTCTTTGGCTACATTAACAAAAATACAAAATCTAAAACAAGAGAAGTTATGTTCTCCACACTGTTTGAATGGTGGTAAGCACAAGGACATCGGCAGG